TAAATGACTCCTGAAATAGAACTCGTTTTTCCTTTTGAGACTTTTCCATAGTCTCACTGGTTACATCATTAGGCATTTTTCTTATTCAGACTAAATTTTGAAGAGGGGGAGCCACACTTTTCTTTCACGTGGTGTTTTGTGTTCATCTAGTTGTTTTTGAAAGAAGTGGACCAACTGATTTATTTCACAAATGCTTTCTATGTTGACCTTGTTCTACTTGGTGTAAAATTCAGTGGCAATGCTTCTGGTATGTCAGTAACATGACAAACACTTTGGATTTATCATGGAAATAAATATGAGCTGTTTCCTTCCTTACTGTGGGAGTAATCCTAAGAAAAAGAGGTGCGAGTATGCCAGTCAATCACCATAGGAGGCTGTTACGTCAAGATTTGTGCATACATTAAGTCAGTTTGATGATCTACAAATAACTTTTTGGAAAACAATGGGTGAACATATAATCTAGGTAGTTTGTATAGTATCCAAAGGAAACCAAATGTTCCTTTTTTCCATGAAAGATACTATGTAAAATTAAATAGTTATGGCCAAGGGAAGAGAAGAGCTAGTTTATTTAAAGGATATGTAATGTACCCCAGAAACCACGTAGGAGCCAATGAGGAATTCTCAAGATTTGTGTGTGGGGTACTGTGGTAGGGTGATAGGCCAATGAGCTTAAGAGTTTGGAAACGCACAAGTTAATATTTAGAATTCATACACTTAAGATAAACATAGTAGGCAACTAAATACTGAGGTACATACACTTGAAATAAACATGCTCCCCCTCCCTCTCATATATATTGTGGACACACACACACACACACACACACACACACACACACACACACACAGCCCTGATGCCCCAGCTCCCTGCATAAGCCTCTTCCCTAACTCTACTGTTCAAGTGACTCTGCTCACAGTCCAGTGAACCCTGAACCAGGGAGCAGCCAATTGGCTGGGCTCCCTGGAGAAAATTGAAGCAGAAGACCCTGATTGGCATGAACCTGCCTGCACGTACCTGACATCTGACTCAAGAGCCACATGCGTGGGCGGGTTTCTGCCAATTCAGGTCTTTTGCTTCAATTTTCTCCAATAGCTGGGACACTGAGACAGCCTCCAAAATCTGGCACTGTCCAGGGCATAAGGTCACCCTATTAATACATAAGATAATAGGATGGAGGAGTTAGTGGAGAAAGTCATCGGAGCACATGTTGTGTAGCTTTAAATTGATATCCCTTGCAGGGCTGAATGGAGGAATGGGTGCTGAAAAAGAACTTGGCGTCCATATTGGTTATGTAAACATACAAAGCTTTTGACAGTCCTGGACAGTGCTTTACTGGGCACTTGCTGCAATCAAAAAGAAAACATTCTCCCCCTCGAATGTATTACTTCAAGATGGGAGGGTGGGGGTGGGGGGTGTTTTTTGTTTTTTTGCTTTGTCAATAAGCAATGGAAGTATTAGAAATCACTGCAGTTAGAAGTGGGATATTGGCTTCAGCACTCTGGAACTTGACATTTTATTGAGAAGCTCCTCAGATACTTGGGTGGTGGGTCTTTCTCACATGCTCCGGCTCATACTCGTAGCCATTTCTGGTCTCAGGAAGAAATTTTCCTCAAAGGACCATTGTTGCGTTTTACCTTCCTCTGGCATGGGATGTGGTCCATTTAGAAATATCTGAGAATAATTTACTTCACAAATTCTGCCTGTGTGATGCTCTTGTCTCTCCTGCTCTCTTCTTATGGCACAAGGTAGATTCTATTCTCATCAGGTGATTTGTGGCATGTGAGGAGCCAAATTGGATGTTCTTGTGGACCCTTTCGGACAAAATTAGCAAGAGTCACAAGGGACTGGATTTGATGAGCTGAGAGGCCCCTTCCAGTCTTATTTTTCTATGAAAGTCTTACTTATTTGGGACAGACAAGCCTTGTCCACATGAGCATGGCCATTTGTTTCCCTAGGGACAAGTAGTAGCAGCATAGCTTGTGCTGCTGCTACTTTTTCCTAGGGAATGCCATGCCACGTGTCCTTTGGTACCTGGTAGGTTACCTCAGATGGGATAGCAAAGGCTGGAGCCAGCAACTGCTGGCCCCAGCAGCCTTACCTGGGGTCGTGGGGGCTTTGGAGAGCTGGAGCTGGGAGCCTGGCTGGCAGCTGGAGTGTGGCTCTGGCTGGCCAGTCTCCAGTTCTGGGTGGTGTGTCCTGCCACCACATGCGCCATCCTACTTTTTTTTGGTGTGGGTTTTTTTTGACCCCAGGATCTCCCAGGGTCAATCCCACGACCCTTCCCTCCTGCACTGCAAAGTAGCAGTGTGGGGAACACCTGCAGGTGCAGTGTGTGATGCCACAGACGTGTCTGCAGTGCCACATACCACATGTGTCTGCTTGTCTGGACGCAGTCTTAAAGGCTACTATACTACCAACAATAAGCTGTTTTACCCATTTTCTTTTGGGAGATCCCTTTATCAAAACTTTCATTTCTAGGGATTAATTCTCTGAAATCTTTGGGAAATACCAACTTCTGATTTGAATCAACATTTTTTTTTTTTGTAAGGGCTTGTTACTTTAACTTGCCCAACTATAGGTCAATAGTCTGAAACACACCATCACTCCTTACTAAGGCTGCTGAAATTTGGATTAATCTCAGCTAGAATCCAAACTTCATAATATGTTGTTCAAATCTTGCATGTAGACTATGACAAGCAGCAGCTGATTTGTAAGTCTCCATGACTTTCTTTTTGTTCTTGAAAATATTGCCAGTGTTTCATTCACCTTAATGATCTGATGACTTCTTTGTGTTGATAAAGTAAAACAGTTCTAAAGCTAATTTAGTGCTGGTGGAGGTTGCTGGTTTGACTGGCACCTTTATTTATCCACAGTTCAAAGGTAGCTGCACTGTAAACATTTGTATGCTTCTATGTACATCTTTGTAAATTCAGCTAATGGCACTGCCTCCTGGTGAGACCTTGATAGTTTGTGTGAAATGAGTTGCTCCACTTGTTCAATTTACTAAGACTTGTAGTGGAACCAGTTGCTGAATTTGCATTTTCTTCTGAATAGTCATAGTGGCATGATTTTCACCAAGGTAGAGCTGGAAAGTTCTTTATTTTATTCACAAATTTCTAATCTGTCTAATCTCTCAAAGACTACTCTAAAGATGCTATTTCTACATTATCATAGTGCAAACAGAACACAGTGAATTATGCTCACACTTGCCACTCACAACTGAAAACTGAATGAGTACTATTTTTTTTTTTTAATCTGTCACATCCATGGCAAAATGTAAGGATATTTTTTAACCAAATGCCTCTTCCCTTCCTGATTTTAAAATATATTGCTGCTAAGGCAATTGTAATCATGTTCCCCTCAACCCACTCATGGTGTATTAAGAATTGTATTGCCAGCTCCCTATGTTTTTTTTTTTAAAGAACTTTGCACTGAGACCTGAGTCTGTGTAGCCTTTTTGTTTTTGGGGTTTTTTTGGTAAATAGCATTTAAAAACAAAGTCATCATTCCATATCAAAGTAGTGGGCTTTCGACATAAACATTGAAATGCTGGTTAACTAGAACAACTTTGATTTTGCTAGTCCATATTATTATGAACCAGGGTAGAATTCACTTTTTCTTCTTTGTAATCCTGCCTACTCTTGTGTATCTGCCATATGTTTAATATGATCTACTTCTGTCCAAATAGCTGCGTTCAAACATCATCTTCAGAGTATCAGTAGGACCCGACCTCTGTGGCTTTCCTGGGCTGTTATTATATTCTCCTTTTTTTCATTATATATTTATTTTTTCTTCCAAATGTAACATTCTCCTCCTGTCATAAAATAAGTGACTTAAAATTTTCAAAGACTCTTTCTGGCAAGACTAGGAATTGGATTCCTGCAAATCCCTTCATAAAAAATTGAAGACTTGCTATATTAACATACATTGATTTATTCATAGTGTTTCATTACAAATAAGTGAGGATCCTGTAATATCAAGAAAGGTGAAGGATACAGGAGAACACGGTATATTATATTGACAGCTCAGTTGAAATTGAGCTGCCTTTGGATTGAATTTAGAACACAAGGAAGGGACTGGCTGGTAAATAAGTCATGAGTTTTACCTCCAAGTGTCTGTATATCAACAGAGTTGCCGTTGGTAAGCATAATGGAATTCAGGCAGAATTTCAAAGGTGTGCTTTCGGCTTTTCTTTCTTTAAAGGTGTGTTAGTACTGGCAATATATATACTCATGAATATCTCTCTGTATCTGTACCCTGCTGCTAGCTCTCTGAGGTGGAAATTAGGGAAAGCACCATCCACAAGTCCTGGAAACCAAGGACAAACACAGGAAAAATAAAAAAAAAATCAGTCTCAAAGTTGTAGGATGGAAGAGAAGGGTATTTGTTTAATTATTTCATAGTAGTAGTTTCATGTTTTACAAAATACTCCTTCTTACCCAAGATTTCCCACTGTTTTAGGGTATAATCCAAAGACCATTAGAGCCAACAGAAAGACTCCCATTGACTTCAGTGGGATTTTGTTCAAAGCTTTAGCCAGTAGAAGAAGGACTCCATTAGAAACTTGTCCTTCTTTACCTCATGAATCCCCCATAATATAATGGGATAGAAGAGGATAAGGAATTATATCATAAATGTTCTTGAAAAATTTCCACATTTTGCTGTCAATTTTAATTTGCCTGACAAAATTCTGTGGTTGCCCAAAGAACAGAGGAAAAAACCCATATGTTTCTTTCATCCACTTCTCAAAACCAGTTTATACTGCAGCCTTAGTTTGTTGGTAATGCAAGAGAAGAGATGTGGTTGGAAAAGCTTGAAAAAATTGTCACATTTGCCAGCATCTAAATATAAACCCCATTCACTAATGAAAGTGAGGCCACATCCTTTCTTTTTTCTCAGTCCCTAGATTAAAGAGACAGCTCAGTAGGGAGCAGGAGAGGGATGAATTTCCTGAAATTCATTTGATATTAGCACCCTGACTCTCCCTGTTCTTCATTTTCAGATTACATACAAGGCTGTTGGGTCTCTGGATCCCACTGCTGACCTGTCCAGCCAGAGGGGAAAGGTCTTCAAACTAAGGAATGAAACTCACCACCTCTTTGTAGGGTTATATCCAGGGACTACCTATTCGTTCACCATCAAAGCCAGCACAGTGAAGGGCTTCGGACCTCCCATCACGACCCGGATTGCAACTAAAATTTCAGGTACTACACAGGAGGAGGAGGAGGAGGTAAAAGAGGAGGAAGAAAGGAGGACTGGCCTCAGCTTTGTCCTTTACAGAAGAAAAGCAAACAAATTAATAGAAGAATAACATTTTATTTAGTGTTTCATATAAAAAGGCTGTGGACCAAAATTTTAAAGGGCCTCAATCCCAGTCAGGTATCCATGTTCAACTGGATTGCAAATGACAGCAATGGATAATACCTGCTTTACAGATGTAATGAATGTGTTAGATTACATCATTTGGCCCTTGAAATTGTTTGCCCCACAAGTGTGAGTGGCACGGTGTCTGGTTTAGGACGCTCCTTTAAAAATATGCCCTTATCTTCAAAATACCTCCACGTTGGAAGTAGAGTTACTGACTTAATATGAGAGGGAGAGCACAATAGGGAAAGGCAGTATTATTTTATAAATAAGGCTGGAGAAAATACAGTCTGAGACAGCCAATAGGAGATGAAAAGAGAAGGCTCTTGTGATTACAGAAAAGCAGAGAAGACATATACTAGATGAACATAAGAAGAGGGAAAGGAAGGGACTGGAGAAGAAAAAAGCACTGAGATGGACCTATGAATAGATTTCTAAATATGACAACACTGAGATGGCATACTTACCCTGTTTCTTCCCCAGAACTTTAAAAACATAACATTTTAGGAATTTCTGTTTACCCATCCTCCTCATTTTATTCAGTAAAACACAATCATATTTTCATTTGTAGGAAAGTATAACACAAATCATGAGTATGAAAACTTAGGGTCAGATTCTATTCCACCTGTTACATGTTTAGGTGAACATTGACACTTGAGTATGATTCTATTCCAACCATGCTTAAGTCACTGAAAAACAGGTAATACAAAAAAAAAAGTGGGTGGGTCTTCCTCTTCCTTGTGTCTTTTTTGTGACTTAATTTTAAGGGTAAGTTGAGTGATTTACAAAAGTGGATGCATTAATAAGTTTTCAGGACTTCAGTGGGGTAGAATAGAATCATATTTAGTTAGCTAAGTCCATTTTCTATGCCCAATAGGTGGAATATGGCCCCTTATTGTGTAGATGTGTTGAGGCAGTAGCAATACTTGCAATCATAGTTGCCAGTCATAAGAAATAGTACATGACAATGCATTACTTCCACAGGTCTTTTGTTATAAAAAAAGTTGCAACGTTTCTGGGTGTATATGAAAATGTAAACATCAAGAAAGGAAACTCTAAATTTTTTTCCACTTATTATCACCTAGACTTCTGTCTTTGACATTGAGAACAATAGCTAAGACCTCTGTCAGTTGAGCTAGAATAACAGCAAGCAGCATCTACAGAGACTGTTACCTTCTATGTGGGCTCATTGTTGTTTTACATGCTTGTTGCAGCAACAGAAAAATAAAATAACGCTATAACGATAACGCTTCACCCGCTCCTTTCTGATTCTACTTGCTTTTGTTTTAGTTTTCAGTGAACACTTAAATTATATTAGAAAGCAGCCCACACAGTTACTAGTCTGTGGAAATGCTCAGCTCATTTTGTCTTCTCAATAAGCATGTCCAGGGATTTCCTGCAGATAATGACATAGTCCCAAAATAGATCATCTCATTGCATGGTCACTTCTTCACTTCTAACTTAAATTAAGGTTGAATTAAGACCAATGCCCAAGAAACAGTGTGGGAGGAAAAGTATTTTTGTGTTGGGGTTTAATAACTATCATATTTCTACCTGCAATGCCTTTTTAATGCTAAGGTGCATCTTGGTGGAACTTGAATTTGTATATGTGTATTTCATAAGTAGGGGCCCAGCTCTGCTCCCACTGAAGTTGGTAGTAAAATAGCACTGAGGGGAGCCAACTTAAGCCCTATATCAGCAGGGCTGATGTAGCTTGAGCTATGTAGTAATTATTTTATTTTAGAGTGGGCACCATTAAAAGGCTAATTTTTGCTGAGATAGCACACAGCTGTTTAATCTTAAATAGAAGAAAAAGCTTGTATGTCCAGTGTTTGGTTCATGGTAACTAATGAAAATATTGATTACTCTGAATCAACCGTAATTCTCTTTCTTAATCCCTCCACAGGATATAATTGGTTTTACTCATTTGTTATGTATGTGTTGTCTTTAAGTGATATTGAAGTATTTGCGGCAGGAACAGGCTTTATTATGTATATGCTAGATGCTGTACAATCAATCACTGGTTGGCATCTCTGGAAAACTCTGGATTACAAATTAAAATAATATAGGTGGCATTTGTAATAGTAATAATTATTATTTCCCTGATATAAAGTAGTTTATAGGTTGTATGAGAACTCACAACCCCTGTCACCTCATTAGTTTTTATTAATGAGAAAGCCAAGGCATAAAAAAATACCTTGCACAAGGGTGTACAGCTATTCAGTGGCGGATTGAGTACCAGAAACCAGTTTTCAGTTTTTCTGACACTTTTTTCAGTTTCTTAGACTTGTAAACAGGATTACCTGATCTGATAGTCACTGGGAGAGATTAGGTATGGGACCTCCTGCAATGAAGTTTTGAGTTACTTTTCTGAGTTACAGCAGCACTGAATAAAGCTATGCTATTCGTATACCATTTTTTGTGCATAATCTTCCCACATTCTTTTTACTTAAAGGGAGTCTAAACACATGGTCTGGAATGGGGGGGGGGGGGGGGTGCTTTAGGATGCTTTAATTAGAACGGCTCTGAGAGCCACTCTAATTAAAGAGCCCGGAGCGTCACGTATTCAACATCCTGTGCTTCAAAATGGTAGTGGGGGTGCTTTAACTGAAGCTCATTTGATGAGCTTTAGTTAAATCTCCCCCACTGCCATTTTGAAGTGTGGGGACACTGATTACACGTGGCACGGAGGCTACTGGAGTGTGCTAATTAGCACACTCCAGCAGACTTGCTGCAGACTTGATTAATCGAGTCTGCTCCGATGCATACTAAGTAGTACCATAGGCAGCGGAAGGCCAGGGCTAACAGGTCTTAGCCCCCTCAAATGCAGGCAGCCCAGGCTCAGGCTCTGGGCAGCTGCAACAGGGGGAAGGGGCGTGGAGAGACAGAGATGAGCAGGCGGAGCCTGCAGGCAGCCAGGAACTCGGCCTGACCTGCCTATGTGTAGAGCAGCACCCAGCAGGTAAATGTGTGGATGGGAAGGTGGCGGGGGGTGCAGATCTGCAGTGGGGAGTGTATAGGGTGCTGTGGTGGGTCATGGGATGCTTGGAGCCCAAGCAGCTCATCTGGGGTATGTGGGGGGTTCCTGCCTCTGTGAGCGCCCCTTGGGGCAGGCACAGGGGGCATGTGCTCCCCAGATCTGTGTGTGCGGTGGAAGTGGCTGCCACTGTGGACCCCGCTGTGGATCTGCATTCTGCTGCTGCTGCCCCAGGAGTGGCACAATGCCACATGCCTCCTGCATGCTGGCATGTCATGAGACCTCAGGCTTCTACTAAGCTGGGAGTAGAACATTTGTTTTGGGAGTTGCGTGTCAGGCATTCAGATACAATGTGTAGTCCAGTGAAGTTGGTGCTTCACGATCACTGGCGCATTGCTGTTAACATTGACTACAGCAAGGATGCTGGTATTTGTGTGCTGATCTTCCCATTTGGTGTGGATTTCTTGAGGCATTGATGGTGATGCCTCTCCAGGCTCTAGAGATGATGATGATAGATCACCTACATTTCACATCCGTAGAGGAGAGTAGGGATGATGGCAGCATTATAGACATGGATCTTGGTGTCTTTCTGAAGCACTTCCCCAATGAGGCACTTGCACACTGTGCTCAATCTCTTCATCAATGTTCACTCTTGGAGAGAGGTGCCCCCCTAAGGTTGGGGAAGTGTTCAACCAACTCTAGGGTCTTTTCCTTTATAGTAATTTGGAGCTGGGGGGATCACTTCCATGACCTGAGGCAGACTGATAAAGCACTTCAGCTTTTTCAGTGTTGAGATGGAGGCCCGAAGTTTGGTAGCTTTTCCAAAGAGATCCGGTGCAACCTGAAGGTTTTCCTCAGCATGCACAAGAATAGTGCAGTCATCAATAAGTTGAAGGTCAAGAATAGTTGTTTTGAGTACTTTGGTCTTTGAGCAAAAACATTCCATATTGAATAGCCCTCCATCTGTATGAATTTCAGTGTCAGTTTTGGAAGGAAGGTGGTCATTATGAGAACCAGGATGACTGTCGAATAAATGAAGAACAGTGTTGGGTCATTGACGCATCCTTGCTTGACCCCAGTTTGGATGACAAAGGGCTCTATCTCCAATCTGCTACAAATAATGGTCATAGTCATCTGGTCATAGAGAAATGTCAGGACCTTGATGTACTTTTCAGAACATCTAAATATCATCAGTACTTTTCACAGGGCTATGCAATTGGAGGAATCAAAATCCTTAGTAAGGGTCAATAAAGACTATATACAGGTTCTGAAGTTATTCCCAACACTTTTCTTGGATCTGATGGGCAACAGAGATCATGTCAATTGCCCCACGAGTTGATCTGAAACCATACTGATATTCTGGTAGGACTACTTCACCAAGAGGTAGAAGACAGTTCAGAAGGATATGCGAGATGATTTACCTTGTTGTGGAAAAGGGGGAAATACCTCCATAGTTCCCACACACAGACCTATCTCCTTTCTAAAAGATAGTCATGATGTTGGCATTCCTCAGGTCTCCAGGGATTTCTTCACTGTTCCAAATTCACAGAATAAATTTGTAGAGTCTCAGTACCAGTTCCTTGCTGCCAACCTTGTAGATTTCAGCAGGCATGCCATCCAGCCCAGTAGTCTTGTTGTTCTTGGTTTCCTTGATGGCACATCAGACTTCTTCTAGGATAGGAGGGTTGGTGAGGAGATCCCCTTTCAGAGTGTGGGGGATAGATTCGATGATGATATCCACCACAGTAGAGTCACAGTTCAGGAGTGCCTCAAAGTGGTCTTTCCATCTAGCTTAGACAGATCCATTGTCCTTGAGGGGTGTTGAGCCATCCTGCGATTTGCAGGGACATAGGACTGTGGGAA